AATAATTGTGTGTATGCCCTGCGTTCGTACTTTTCGCAATCTGGAAGATCCTAATTACTACAATTAGAACCGTGTAAACTCTAGCCGACCAAATTGCAATTTGTGTTTTTAGAAGTCTTAGAATAAAACACATTGGTTTTTTCTCCCCATTCCGAAGAAACCCAACATGGCGAGCGAGCAGCCACCCACCACTAACGTCGGCCTGTTCACCGTCGCTGACGAGCCGGCGCTGCCGGCAGCTTCCGAGCCGCCCATCAAGAAGCGCAAGTCGGGCTCTGGCCGCAAGAAAGACGCCGTCTGGGACAAGACCACCGTGCTCGAAGACAAGCGTGTCATGTGCAACCGCTGCGGCGCTTTAATCCACCGCTACGGCGTCGCCAAGGTCGAGCGCGTGCGCAAACACTTCGACCGCAAATGCCCGGGCGTACGTGAGCCGGTTCCTACGGGAAGAGGCGAGGAGAGTGTGGTCATAATGAACTCAGAGACTGCCGTGACGCCGGAGACTTCTGATTCAGCGCTCCTGGGTGGAGGTTCAGCTGTGGCTGCAATGGCCGTGGCAGACGCTCCCAGACACAGCTACGGAAACAAGAACGGTGCGTTCAAACGCAAGTTGGCCTACTGGCTGTACGGCACGGGACAGCCCTTCGACAACGTCGACAACGAACTGTTGCTGAGCGCTCTGAAGGCGCTGCGAGGGGATGTGGTGCTGCCGACCAAGCACGAGCTGGAGAACGAGCTGCTGGATCTGGAGTTCGCGGCCTCGAAGAGCAAGGTGACTAAAGCTATTAGTGGCAAGAAGTGCTGCCTCACGGTCGAGAACTGGGTGGATGCGGGAGGATGCAGCGTGACGACGTACGGAGTGGTGTGTGAGGGCGCGCCCTACTTTCTGGAGGCGAAGACTGCAGCGACCCAGGAGTTCAGCGGGGAGTTGATGGTCGGGGAGGTCGAATCAGTCATGGCGAAGGAGAAGAAGGCGGACATCTACGGGATTGTGACGCCTACGACGTCGACTCTGCCCAAGTACACTCGCGAGAGGATCATGAAGAAGCACCCTCGCTGCACATTCTTCTATGGGTGTGTGTGCAACGCGCTCAGATTGTTGCTGAAGGATATGGCTACTGCGCTTCCGTGGCTGAAGAAGGTTCAGGCTTCTGTGAGTGAGCTAGCAGACGTGTTTCGCGGAAACCATAAGCTTCAGGCGCTCATGTCCGCTGCGGAGACCAATCCGACAGGAGAGTTCCCGGATTCCAGCTCTGTATGCACGATGCTGGAGGCTGTGCTAGAGCATGAAAAGGGGCTTTACTCGGTTGTTGCGCGTCGAGACTTTGTCGATGCGAGCACACCGGCGGAGCAGGAGAAGCTGAAGCGTGTCCAGGACTTCGTACTGGGTGAGTCGTTTGTCCAGGATGGGCTCAACTCACTTGCCATTCTGCGCCCACTGCAGCAACATCTGAGGCATTTCCAGGAAGACCGACCCCCGCTTTCGCAGGTCTTCCCGTATTTCGTAGAGCTCTTGACCGTGTACTCGTCAATGGAGTGGCTGAGCAAGAAGGAGAAGGCGCTCATCACGTCCTGCATTAGCGAGCGCTTCAATGCTATCTACGGCGACTCCCACGGCGTAGCTTATTTGCTGGACCCGCTGTATCTGGGCGAGGCGTTGGATGAGAGGAAAAAGCAGGAGGTGGAAAGCTTCATCGCTCGCTTTTGCGAGCACGAGGGCCATTCTGTGGACATTTTATCACAGCTGGGGATGTTCAAGAGCGTGGTTGCCAAGCTCAGGCAAGGCAACCCAGCCTACTGGCAGTTGGTGCAGTCGGGGGCGGTGTCGCCGCATGACTTCTGGATGGAGCGACGAGGCCAGTGCCCGCATCTGCACCAACTGGCTGTGGCGGTCTTCGCTTTACCAGCCGCGAGTGCATCCCCCTCTCCGTCACTCGCAGCTCAGGGTTTCGATGTCACCTCGCGCTTCAACGGCAAGTTGACCCCGGACCAACTCCAGAAGCTCACACACGTGTACTGCAACTCGAGAAGAGAGGACAATGAGGCGGTGCCATCGACTCAGGCAAGGCAATCCAGTCTACTAGCAGTTAGTGCAGTCGGGAGCAGTGTCGCCGCGTGATGTCTGGATGGAGCGTCGAGGCCAGTATCCGTATCTGCACCCTCCTCAGCTGTAGCCGAGCCTTTGAGATGTCAACATGTTGCGCAATTCCACTTCAACTTGCCTTTCACTAACCCTGTATCCAGCATACTCTATGACCTTGCTAAGTTCCTTTCATTTCCGCATTGAGCCGGCTTCAATGGCGTCGAGAGGTGACGGGCTTGCAGTCGTGGACCGATGGACGGCGGAGTTGCACAAGCGCGTCGCTGAGACGTTGCACTCTGTGTGCGGGGCGTTTAAACAAGAGCTGGAGCTGGCAGCGCAGCCACCCGCGCCGCCGACTGCAGGCCAAGTGGACTATGATACGTACAACGACTGCTGCCAGAGGCTGGTGCGATACATTGCAGCGAATATGGACACGTCGCCGTACTTTACCCAGCAAATGGATAGGATAATTCTCGCCTGCCATAGTGACACATCGGAGCAAGTGCTGGGCTCCCTGGTGACGAAAGATGTGTGGCTTCGTCCGAGGGAGAAGACCCGCGGAGACCGGGAACGCGAAGACCAAGCTACCGCGAGCACGGCGCAAGAAGCTACAGTTGTGACGACAGCTCCCGTAGTTATAGGTATTCCAGGTGACCCCGTTGTTAAGACTGAAGGGAATGCTGTGGATGCGCCAACTCCAGACAGATTGCCGGTACAAATTGAAGCAGCGAAGCCAATGACGTCGACAAGTCGACGTAGTGTTTCATCTACTCGTCAAGATGTGGAAGTGGCTAAAGTACCATCATCATCTACTTCAGGGCGTAGCGGGGGAAAGAGACCCTCAGGAAGGAGACCCAGTATGACAACTGCACCGACAGCAAAACGACAGCGCCACGGAGAGGACGCCGTGATCGAGATTTTGAGCACCGCCGACGAGGAGGACGGCGAAGCGAGTGATGGTGAGAGACGTTTTGGAACTGAAACAGAGACCGAAGCGGAAGACGAGGAGGAAATGAGCGAAATTGTGGAGATTGGAGTTCACAATTCTGATGATGATGACGACGAAGACTGGGTTGAAAGTAGAAGTGGTGGCGAAGACGGTGGTGACAGTGATACTGCCATACGAGTGGCAACTACCCGCGAACCTGTTGCCGACGTTGTTGGAATCCTTTGCCACCCTGAAAACCGGTCCCCTCAACAGACTCGGGCTTTCAGGGAGCGCTTGTACAAGGGTATTCAGTTTCTAGATGCTCTATTGTGTAGACCATCACGCGGAAAGGTTTGCTCGCGAAACTGCCACGTGTTGCGAAAGCAGTGGTGTCGAGACATCGGTCCGTGTCGAGACAAGCTGTGCCAGCGCTGGCATGAAGTCGATGCTCACGTCTGGCGCTGTCAAAACACACACTGTGAGTACTCCATCCAAGTCAAGCTACGAGAGTCGATGCACCAAATTGAGCATCAGCATGAGCGAATCGACAGTGTGCGAAGGGAACTCGATGAGAGAAAGAAAGAACTGACCGAAGCCAATGCTTCTCGATTGACCAATCCGCCAAGCAAAATTTCTTTCTTAAGCAAGCAAGTGGACTTGCTTGAACGAGAATTAAGAAGCGAGCAAGAGCAGCTGGAATTTTATCAGTCTTTGGAGAGAGGGAATCTTGAAGCTGCAGAAGAAGCCGACATCAACCCACTAGCTGGGGACTTCCAGATGCATTACATGGTGAAAACACGGGGTGAAACCGCTGCAATAGATGATGGAGTGCGCACGAAAGAAGATACGAACCAAGTGGTTCCAGCTCGCCGACCAGTCATCGAAAAGGATGAGCTATTGCCTTCGTTGGCTGACCCGATTGGAAAGCTTTGCTACGCAGGGCAGCGTACCGCGGATGTTCAAGGAGTGTCTGCGGAAGTCCATTAGGTTTATTGATGCCTTACTATGCAAGCCACCTCATGGTAAAGTCTGCGTACGGGATTGCAAGATGATTAGCGAGAATCGGTGCACTAACGACGAGCCTTGTGATAATGAGTTGTGCGGCAATTGGCATCACGCGGAAGCACACACGGACAACTGCCGCAATCCCCAATGTGAATTCAAGCTTCGTATCATTTTGCGAGAAGTAATGCACGGTATCGAACACAATCAGCGAATTGTTCAGGAAGAACGCGCAAAGGTGCAAAAGAAGACACTGGCATTAGAAGCTATTCAGCGAGACGAAGAGAGCGCGAAGCACCATGCTGAAAGTTTTAATCTGCTAGACACTCGGCAGCAGGACCGCTTTTACGAGTCTAAAGTGCTCCAGGACGAGCTTGACCAACTCAAGGGGGACCTAGCGAAGGAAGAGCAACTACTACAAAACTTGTACGACAAAAGAACGGAGCTGAAGGAGAAGTTGTACACCATCGGAATCGACGAGAGCGATGACGTGATTGACGGGTTTCCAGAGTTCACCAGTCACTATGAGAACAAGCGGGGATCAAGAAAGCAGAGGGCACATTAAGTGCCAGCCAGCAATTTGCGACAGCGTACCTGCAGACCTGCCCGTTGAATATGGATTGGAGCACAAGGGCAGATTTTCGACAAATGCATGTGTTGTTCCTCAAATACATTGAAGTACTTAAGTATCTCGGCAAGAGAAGTCTGCAGTCTGGAGCGGCAACTTTATCGGAGGAGCTGAGTGCCCCTCGGTCAGCGACAAATCGCCAAGCGAAGTTGCGGTTGCAAGTTGCTGGGCCGGCATTTTTGATTACGTTCCAACGCCGAAGTGTTCGCATTGAGGTTGATCTGTGGCTGCGCTCAAAACGGTCACATGTGTGCTCTCTAAATGCGTGAACTCCAACATCCAGCTGACATGTGAAAGAGAACTGCAGCAACTCGCCTCCTCGTTCACAAGCTTTGTTGCCAACACTTCAGCAAGAGTACATGTGCCGGTACACTGTACTGTACATGCTGTCCGTCGAAGTACAACATGTCATGGCGACTCATCATGTGTGAAGAGATGAAGAGAGATCATACACTTCGCTTGTGAATGTCGGAACACTGAGCCCCAACGTCCCCGAAGCCTCCTCCAATACCAAGCAAGATTCGTCGAGTGGGGGATACTTCGCGCCGTTCGGAACTGACGAGCCGGCCGAGGAGCTCTTTGTCCGTAACGACAGCCTGAAAAAGATCGTGCCTATGGTCAATGTCGCCAAGGAGGCTCAGAAGCAGCCCGTTCCGACTAACAAGTGGTGGGCCAACATCATCCACGTAACCGACCTCAAGAACGTGACCAACTACGCTGCGGTGGTCCAACCCGTACGCCGTGAAGCTGCCGCGAACGGCCCCTTATGGAGTGCAGGCCTGCTACTCGTACTCGTACCGACACATCGCTCCCGAGGTCAAGGGCATGGTCAAGGAGTACAACCACTCGTACCACAACGACCTGACGCTGTCGTCGCACGAGTTCTTTTCGTACGAGCCCAAGTACGAAGTATACGAATGGGACGAAGGTGGCGCCAAACTGCGCACGTGTGACGAGGCCAGCGGCAAATGCATGGAGTCGGCTCTCGTGAGCGGCATGGCCTTCGTGTCCGCCACGTACGACGGACTCACCCCGCGCATCGACACGGAACACGACATCGTCGATCTGGACGACTCGGCACCGGGCAAGTTCGTCATCCACCTCAACAACAGCCAGACGTGGGTGCTGTACGCGAGCGACAAGAGCCTCAAGCTCCGTGTGGAGGACTCGGTGGTGTTCTCGATGAACGCGTCTGGATCATCGCTCGTGGCGGACGCGGGCTACTCGGGCACGATCCGCGTGGCGCTGCTGCCTGACGACGCCGACGACACGGTGTACGACGAGTTTGCTTCGTGCATGGTGCGCGGTGGCAGCGTGTCGATGGAGTCGCGCACACGGTACTCGTTGCATTGGGACGTGGAGGGCAGCAGTTGCCAGACAGTGGGTCTGCTGCATTTCGCGCTGCCGCACCAGTTGGAGTCGATGAGCGGATCTCCGACGGCGTCGAGCAGTGCTGGAGCCATTATGTTGCACTCGGCTACTCGCGGTGTGATGGTGGGTCAGGTGACGACTACGCCGACGTGGTCGTTTGTGGAGGCCGAGGCAGACTTCGAGGTGGACTTTTACCCGCCGCGTAAGCCGTCTGCGTGGATCATCAAGGACATGCTGAAGACACTGCAGAAGGACATCATCGCCAACTGGTCCGACTGGGACAACGGCAAGTATTACCAGAAGTACGCGTCGCTGTGTCTGATGGCGGCAGACAGCACGATCGTTGGCTCGGACACGACGCTTCTGTCGTATTGTTTGGAGAAGCTGGAGGCTATGATCGAGCCGGTGCTGAACAACACGCTGTCACCGCCGCTCATGTACGACACGCTCTACAGCGGTTTGATCTCGAGCTCTATCTTCCAGACGGGCAGCATCTACACGGAGTTCGGCAACGGCATTTACAACGACCACCACTACCACTACGGCTACTTCGTGACGGCTTCTGCTATGCTGAAGCACCTGGACCCGAAGTGGTCGCGCATGCCGGAGCTGGAGAAAATCATCTGGACGATGCTGCGTGATGTGACAAACCCGAGCGCCGAAGACAAATATTTCCCTCGGTTCCGTCACTTTTCGTGGTATTTGGGCCACTCGTACTCCCACGGAGTGACCTCGATCGAGAACGGCAAGGATGAGGAGAGTACGTCGGAGGATATCAACTTCTACTATGGCATGACGTTGTGGGGCAAGGTGACTGGGAACAAGGCGGTGGAGGACCTGGGAAGCCTGATGCTTCGTCTCGATGCCCACGCGATTCGGACGTACTTCTTGCTCAAGTCGGACAATACGATCCATCCACCTGAGATTGTCCGCAACCGCGTTACGGGTGTCTTCTTTGATAACCGGGTCTGGTACAACACTTGGTTTCTGGACAGGGTGTACGCTATCCACGGGATTCAGATGATCCCGGTGTCTCCGATCAACGAGTTGGCCCGCACGTCGACTTTTGTGGAGCAGGAATGGAACGACGTTTTGTCCAAGGAACGTATTGTGGTCCATGCACTGACCAACTACACGTGGCTCTCGTTGCTTCTTGTGAACGCTGCAACTGTGAACCCGATGGACTCGCTACGCAAGTTGAAGAATGCAACGATGGACGATGGTCTTTCTCGTTCGTGGGCACTGTATAACGCTGCTACTCGTTGCAGAGATGACGTGGATGTTAACGTGTCGGCGGCTATCAAGTTGACCGTCCAGGCATAGTTAGCATCGCTTCGTTCTCACCTGAAAAGGGAAAACGTTTATAAAAAAATGATAACTCTTTGTGACTGCAAAACACCTTTGTCCTTGCTGTAGAACACCAGATCCTATTTTTTTGCAAACAAGCCAAGCGGACGGGGCAGTTTAACTTAAACTCGGCTTAAACTTTCAGCCGAGTGATAGAGGGTGACCGCCTCGCTATGCTCGGCGGTCCTTTTTTTTATAATCTATCGATGATGATGACTAAAACATCAACATCTATTATGAATAAACGATAACGTTATTTGTTTCAGATTACACACACTCAATCCTCAGGCATCAACAACCTAGGCACTTGGTACATAAACAATCCAAAGTACCTAAATGGAGTTTTCAAAATGTCCTTGTTTAAGAGAATGGGTTCAGGCTCGGTTCTATAGTAAATAGTGGTCCATTGATGGTTATGTCGTTGTTACATGTATTTCTCGGTGTTTTTATCTTATGTAGCGCAGTAGCAACTGGGCTAGAACTACTAGAACCACTTTCCGTCGCCGCTACAATAACCACTGCCACCACCCACCTCCCGTTACTTTCGTCACTATGCCTTCAAGCTTCGCGCCAATATAATTCGTGCTAGCTCGACCTCCCTCTGCTCTGTGCATTTGGCACGCCAATGAAGCTCTCATACATGACAGCGCATTCCGCGGCAGCCGTACCTGCCAAATTATGAGATGGAGCTGGGTCGACCAGGCAATCGTAACAGACCAATATACCAAAGTAAGTAATTTAAATAATAAACTAACTACATGTAACCTGGCAATCGACTTATTATCAAATCTTCGTTACCTTACATTGGCTTGTGGATACCACAGAACGAGCAAGGAGCAGCTACACTGTACCTGCGCTCTGTTGCGCATCATGGAATTTATCAGATATTATGGGTAACAACAGCTCTCTAGCTTGGTTGACCTGGCATCACCACCACACAGACTGAAATTCTTGATCGACGCAGTGTCGGGACTACCCGTGAATTAGTCCCGGTGTGGCAACGATTCACACTCGGCCCCATGAATATATCTCTTGGCAGGAACACAAACACTGTTGATAGCGACCTGTAGAACACATTCTCTAAATCATATGCTTCACTTGCCATACTAATATATAGATCTTTGTATGGTGCCTAATTCAAGATCTCCAAAGTGCCGATTTCAAGTCCAAATGAGCATTAGGCACAATATCCTAGTTTGTTGATGCCTGTCAATCCTGGTCGGGTTGGGGTGACGCCCTCCCGGGAAGCTAGGGCCGGCATGATGCTAGCCCAACGCTTCCGGCAGGTGCTTCACCGCATCTGCCAGTCTTTCACGGGTCTCTCGCTCTCCACTATCACCTCTCAACCAGTCTCTATCTCCCCACAGTCACCGCGCGGCCGCCCCGCGCGCACTGCGCCGCAGCCCCGCCGTCATCTCCGCTTAGGTACGTTTAATGTGCAATCGCTTGGTTCACAGCGGAAGCAGCACGAGACGCTTCCACGCGACCTGGATGCATACAAGGTCGACATACTCGGGCTCCAGGAGACACGTCTCGCTTATCAGAGCGAACAGAAGGCAGGTACGTTTACGCTGCTAACTCTACCGACATCAAACCCCCGCCATGGCATTGGTTTTGCTGTTTCCTCTCACCTCCACAGGTTCCTGTACAAGTATTGGGCTGAATCAGACCGAGGTGGCGTGCTTCAGCTTCGCCTCCGTGTTGGGCAGCGTGGGAACGTTATCAACGTGTACGCGCCGCACAGCGGCTACCCCTTGACCGAGGTTGATGCCTTCTATGAAGATCTCCATGCGGCAACGTCCAAGCTACCCAAACGCAACACGACATTCATTCTTGGTGATTTTAATGCCAAAGTGGGCAGGCTTCGCGACCAAGAGCCCTTCCTCGGGCCTTGGGGTCGAGGCCGCCGCACCGAAACGGTCACATACTAGCGTCGTTTTGCGATGCAAATGATTGATTTGTGTATCACTAACACTGCTTTCAGGAAAAGAGCGCGCAACATTACAACGTCGACACTGCGACTTCCAAGCTACAGCATTTTCAACCAGATCGACTACATCATTTGCAGCCAACATGTCAAGCAACTCTGTCGCAACGCCCAGTCATGGGGGGGCACGCTCACCCCATCCGACCACAAGCTCGTGACACTCGACTTTGACCTACAAGCCCTCCGACGTCTCCGCCGTGCCCCGCTCCACACCCCCGACACCCGCCTCGCAACCCGCAGTCTCGTACACAACTCGCAACTCCGTCATGAATACCGACGGACTCTCGCAGACAGACTCATCGAGCTACGGCGGGCGGGATCAGCCGACCAACAATGGAACGCAGTGCTATCAATAGCGCTGGAAGCCGCAGCTGACACTGTCGGCTATCAGCCTCTGATACCTCACGTAAAAATCGTCGACCCGGGGCTCGCCCGACTCACGTTCGAACAGAGACGGCTCCGTATCAACAACGATCACGCCCAAGACGTCGCCGACCTACGAAAACGTCGGAACCGCCTACGCCATGAGATTCGAGAACACAGCAAGGCACTGGCCCCAACGAAGCCATCAACACCAAGTTGGCGGCCATCGAGAACGCTCCTGGCACTGCGCAAATGTTCGAGACCACCAAGACCCTCTTCCAACGACGCACCGCTCTAACCTCGTTATGTGACACACCAGGCAAATATATACTAAGCAAGACACGCGCCGGCGAACGGATCAAAACGCACTTCGCAGAACAATTCATCGACCCGACCAGAGAACCGATTGCCCCGGACGGCATTCAACGAGCCCTCCAGAACCCGATCACAGCCGCCGAATTTGAACGCGCGTTCAACCGCCTACGCAACGACCGCGCGCCAGGCCCCGACACCATCCCAGCCGAGCTACTGAAGTATGGCGCCGACGTCTTAGCTCCGCCGCTTGCCGAGACCCTCAACCACGCTCTGTCAACCGGAGAGCACATCCATCTGGGAGATGGAATCCTCCTAGGCCTATCGAAGCCAAACAAACCTGCTGGTCACTGCTCCAGCCTTCGACCGATCGTCCTCCTGAACAGCATCCGCAAAGCCGTCTCGCTCGTGGTGCTGAACAGGATATCACCGAAAGTTGAGCAGTACCTATCGCCACATCAAAGCGGTTTCCGGCCCAGTCGCAGCACCGCATACTCGGTGTGGGCTCACAGGTGGATAGCAGCTCGCGCCCAAAGATACAAGGAACAATATCACATCCTAGGGATCGACCTCACGCGAGCTTTTGACACGATCAATCGCGACAAACTACTCTCCGTGCTGGCTACAATTCTCGACAACGACGAGCTACGACTCATACGACTTCTACTCCGCGGGACCCAACTCTCAGTTCGGCACGGCCACCATCTGCTCTCACCATTTGAGTGCAATACAGGTACACCCCAAGGCGACTCACTCTCACCAGTTCTCTTTGTTGTCTATCTAGAAGCAGCACTCCGTGACCTCGCAGATCAACTCAACGTGCCGCATGACCTCCTCGCCAATATGATTGTCTACGCGGACGACGCAGATTTTGACTGCGCGAACCGCACGACGGTTGACCTGATCAAGTCTCAAGCCGCCGCCATCCTGTCCAAGTGGTACCTCAAGATGAATACAGCAAAGACAGAGCACACCGTTGTTCGTCGGAGCCTCGCGGCTCAGCCAAACCGAACGGACCGCGCCAAGGAAGAAACGTGGCGCAACACGCGCAAACTCGGTTCCCTTCTCGGCGACGCCGAAGGTGTCTCCCGTCGGACCACTCTTGCGACCGCAGCGCTCCACCAGATGTGGAAACTCTGGTTGCGACCGACAAAGACCAAGGAAGCTACTCGTATTCGCCTCTACAACAGCTTCGTCCTGCAAATCTTGCTCAACAACTGCGGCACATGGGCCCTAACACGCGCCGACCTGCTCAGCCTTGAAGCTTTTCACCGTCAACAACTGCGCGCAGTCATCGGCCGCAAGTACCCGTACTCCATTACAACGACCAGACTCTTCGAGCGCACAGGCACTGAGCCTCTTCGATACCATATCAGCAAGGAGCAGACTTCGTCTGGGATTACCTGGAGACATTCGAGTTCGGAGGCAGCTGGTGTGGCCGACGCAAGTCCGGGCCCACAGCGTAGCCTTGGGAAGAGCCAAGACAAGGCGTTTCAGGAGTGAGGTACACACGCCTCACAGGATCTAAGATTTGGGCTTTTAGCTCAGATTCTGGGTTGTGTGATCTAAGGTCAAGGTCTAGCCTCGCGGCTAATTCCGTGAATTTGGATCCCGCATCGCCACAGCTACAGTTACAGTTTACTGAACTCAAGTGAAATCCGAAGTTGTCCTACCATTTTTCATGTTTGTCCTAGCAAAATGACTGACTGTGGATAAGTCGAAAGAACTGTGGTTTGTGCTTCATTTATGCTATTGAGCACTTGGAAATGTGGAAAACTCGAGGAGTGACGCCTGTCTAACCCCCCCCCTCTATTTCCAGATCCGGAGTGGATATAGCCACATACGATTTCACGAGAAAGTACGAAATATATGACGAGTATGTGCCGGACCATAAATCTGATTCTGCATCGCTCTCAGCCACTCTTTTCATTTTGGAATTTGCAGGTTTCGAGGTAAGCGGCGGGATGCGTGGCGTGCGGCAGCGGCGCTTGAACGATGGCCCAGTAACGTACGTGGGTATGAACATGCCGCCTAGTGGGAAGGTGCGGTTGTGCACATCTGCGGCTAGCAGGAGCGCATGCAGGCTCGAGAATATAGATTAAAGAAGCTTTATCGCGCTAGAAAACATTTGAACGCCCACTTGCGCATGAATTGCGTTTTTGTGTTGAGTAGCCACACGCAGTGACGTGCTAAGGGATATCCTTCCTCGATACCTCTTGTATGATGCTTTGGTAGTGCACTCGTTCCATTGTCGCCTCTGTATTGTCCTCAGGGCGACGCTTAGCGCTGCACGCGGGATGTCATTTTTCCACAAAATGTACGCGTTTGAGGTTGAGTTTTGAGGCACAAGAAGTCCTTTGCGTGAGTTTCATTCGTGAACGGATGAGGGATATGGAGTTCTTCATGGCTTCAGGCCTCGTTAGTATCAGTAATGAATAATGCACGCACAACGTCACCATGAAGAGCAGCTTAGGTGTCCATTTCCATTTTCGACTTTTTGGTCGCTTGCAATGCGAATCTCACACCCGTCTAAGTACGATAATTTGCACATCAAGCATTCACTAAGTACGATATCCTAGGCTCACCACATAATATGCCCATTCCCATGAAATAGTATGTGACTCATACTCGTCCTTTCAGATCCCCGAAATCCCCGATCTTAAATGGGGCGTGTGACCTCATTTTTTGTGCTGTACATTATCGGAAATATCGTGCTAAACGCAAGCGAATTAGTACTTTCTGCTTTTTACGAGTAATTTTTACTTTCAAATTTTTGATTGTCAATTAGGTACGAAATTTGATTGGTCAACTTCAAACACAATTATCTTGAAAACTCCAAATAGGGGGTTTCAATGAAAGCATTAATGATGATTATTTTTCTATCAAAATGAGTCGGGGCTATGTGCCTGCAATATCCATCCTGGAAGATTTGAAATTCACTCAAAATCTGGTGTGTCACATATAGCTGTCTGGCCGGCAAACTGGTGCCCTCTCGACGCGCTAGCTGAAACCATGACTAGCTAGCCCGGAATCGCCTCTGTCGTTTGAGTACACGTAGTTCATTTGACCCTCGCTTCCTTTTTGTATATCGACCCGGTAATGAGGGCACTCCCAAGGTGATTGATCCGAGTAAAACGGACGCAACCAATGCGCCCGGCGCAGAATCAGCCCAAACGATGCGTCTCCCGAGACGCATCTTTGGCCAGATCAAATCCTCATTTTCGCCAAACGATAATCCTTATCGATGCTTTGTACATTGAAACCCCCAAATGGTTCGTAAGCATCATCTTGTTTGACGTGGTTTGTCCTAGGAGATAAGACAAAATCGTGTTTTGGTGTGGCATACATCGGTCGTTTTTGTCCTTGGAAGCTGGAAAAAAGACCAAATATGATTTTTATATGGGGTGACTTTTGACCCCCAGGTGTGTCTTACTAGATCGCTGGCGCTTAACCCGGGAGGGCGTTTCTCCAGTGATAACATGGAGCGACTAGATGTACTTGATCGCTGTCGCTTGAAGGCTGTTCAGCTATCATCTGAAAAATCTCAAATGGGTCTCATCTTCATCTTCCGATAAAATGGTCGATAGCAGCGATGATGAACTATACATGAAACTTTGGTAACGCTTTACAGTAGAGAATGAATAGTATTTTAAGAAGCAATCTATGACTCAAGGTCAACGCTTTTCGAAGCTCATGCCAAGTTTGTGAAACGCGCGAAAAGAAATTCATGATTCTCTGCTTATACCACAGTGTAGAGGGGTCACGTCACAGTGGTGATGGCGGCCCACGTGAGCAGCCAGAGCCGACAGTGATCGACTTGACGATCGAGTAGTGTGGCGAGCGGCGGCACGGACGGTGACCGGATGAGTGACGGGGGCGACGGACGGTGGCAGGAACGAGTCAGCTGGCTCGAGCCTCAGCGAGGAGGTCAAAGTTGAAGTATGGGGACTACAAAAGATCGCGAGGAGGGGTGAACGACGGACGGTAACAGGGGACAAGTATCGACGAGGGCGAGGCGACGTCAATGACCGCAGCGTGCGGCCAGCAAGCGACGAGAGCGGGGATGAGGCCCCGAAAGGGGGAGATGTCCAAGTTGTAGGAGTGAGAAGGCGTCGTAGGTAGGAGTAGAGAGGTCGTCGGGGGTAGTTTAAGTGGGGGCAACAAGCCGCGGTTGCGGCTCGACCCTCAGTTGCGATTTAGTTACAGGCTTGTGACTAATCTCAGCTAATACAAAGAGTTGCGCCGAAAGAGCACGGGTTCCAGCGTTGAGTACTGCGATCGCGGAGGTCGGCTAGCGCACGGAGTAACAGCGAGGTAGGCGATAGTGGCGGGCAGCGCCTTAGGAGCGTATGTTGGTCGAATAGGGCGGCGGGACCGTGGAGAGAGACCACGGGGGTACGAGGAACGCTCGGAGAAGAGGAGCACCTTGGCCGTACAGGGAGAGTCCGGAGCGAGCCTCACTGGCACGTGGTGACGGAGCTCTTCCACCTATGTGTGCGTGTTGCATGTCCGGATTGGTCCTGTTGGGGCATCCTGTGGATACCGGAGCCTAGGTACCGAGAACGCTCCCCCCTTGCCGTCCCTATCTCGAGCGTGTCTGGTTGATGGACCAGTAGCTGTCTGGTCGACCTCTACGGCTCGCGCTTGCTGGCAGTCGGCCCCTATAGGTGTTGGCTGTCTACTCTACTGTGAGAAACGGAGCGGGCACGGTGGACGTGCAATGAGAATGGGAATGCGGTTGGAGAAAACTACATGGTGGTCATGACAGGCGCTGACCGGGCACAGCTATGGGGACTAGTCGTGCGGGCTCGGCGTCAGTGGCTCAAACCCCGCAGGCGAACCGGAGTACGTAAGGCGGACGGAAACGGATAACTAAGTGCGAATGTCTTGTATGATTTAAGGTTAACGAAGGTATGGAACAGATGGCTACGAACGTGGGTATTGTGGCGCGCAACCAGCGCGCCGAACGCCGCTCGACGGAGCGAGCGAAGCAGCAGGCGACGAGCACCGTGAACACGGACGATGGCGGCACTGTGGCCTTGGAGACGGAGGAGACCCGCGGCGTTTCCGGCGACACGCCGATGGGAGCTGCCAGCGGCATGAGCGTGACGATCGGAGGCAACAACGGGGGACACCCGGCTGGCGACGACAGTCAGTCCAGCGGCACCGGCGGCAACGACGGAGGACGTACGGCTGCCAACCGTGGCAGCGACGGAGCCGACAGCAACGACGGTGGACGCCCCACAAGTGGACAAGGAGGCGTCCAGCCCCGTGGTAACGGCGGAGACGCGACACCTGCTGCGAGTGGTGGAGCGTCTGGAGGAGCACCGGTATAACCAGGCGGCACCGTGCACCGCCGGCGGGACGGACGATGGAGACGACGACGCCGAGTGTTGCGGCAGGAGCGGAGCCACAGCAGATCGTGGTCCGCGAGTGCCCGAAGCCCCTAAAGCTGACCAAGTTCAAGGGGCTGGACGACCCATACCCGTGCCGATGTGGTTGAAGACGGTGAGGGCCGAGGTGCGCCGGTAGGCAATGACCATGGGTGTGCAGTGGACGGATGCGCAGCTGTACCACGAGGTCGCACTGAACCTCGACGGCGAGGCGCAGCGCTAGTTCGCCACGGTCATGAAATCGGTGCCTCCAGAGGAAGAGGCAATCAACACGTTGGCGAGGATGCTCAGGACGAAGTACATGACGCAGAGGTCGACCCGAAGTTGACGAAAATAGTACTAAATAGTAATATTTCTTACTTATACCAGCTATATCATGCTCCTACGCCGTCTTCTTTTAGCCTCCACAAGTCCTTTTCACTCTGTATTGATTTCGCGTAGTTGCTACTTAAATGTTTAACTTTAGATGTTTTAAAACCGTGTCGGGAGATGTGGCAGTTGGTCCGTCCATACAAAACCTTGAGCCCTGGCTGGCCCGGGTAAACCCGTGGCTTGTGGGCGGGTGGGTACGGGTACCCGACTTCGGCTTGGACGGCTGCACGGGCGGGTACGGGTACCCGGTCAGCACCGTTTGCGAGCCCTAATGCGCAGGGGGCGCTTGGTGGACTACGCGCAGTCCCTGCGCGAGATCGCGGAGCGCGGCGAGATCGGCGACTATTGGCAGGTGAACGCGTTTCTCAAGGGCATGAGCAGCGTGGCGGGGCGACGCAGGTGCGCGGTCACAGGCCTCAGACGTTGGACGAGGCCTTGAACGTGGCAATCGCACAGGAACTGGTTCCCACAGGGGCCAATCAGAGCGCGTCTAGCGGTTTGAAATTTCAAACGGCCCGGATCAGACTGGTGGACAGTACAAACAACAGAGATCAGTAGACGACGACGCGAGGTGCCCGGCCAAGACGCTGAAGGTCGAGGGCGTGTACGGGGGAGCGGCGGGTCAGAACGGTAGCTACGGCAACCCTGCGCTCGCCACGCGCGAGGGCCGCATGCGCAACCACGAGCGGTATCTCAACGAGCGGCGACAACGAGGAGCAGGAGACAACGACCTCTGTTTCTATTGCGGCAAACCAGGGCACTCTGCGACGTAAAGGCGGCTGACTTGGAGCTAGCGAAGCGTCAACGGCTGCGGAGTTCGGCCAGAAGCGAGGCGACCACCAGGGAAACAAGCGGCGAGCATAGGGGACCAAAACCTACGCCTCGCTAACCCTGGATCGGGTAAGAAAGGAAGACGAGCGGCACTACGGCCAGTAGGGCCGTTGGAGGGGCCGAGGAACGGAGGACGACCGGTCAGCTCGCAAAGGCACGGCGGTCAGAAACGGAGGGTGACGTTCAAAGATACGGATGGCGCAGCCGCCGGAGTACTCGAAAGAATGGCGGAAGGGGTCGCGGGGTCTCCGTCTGGGAATGGCGCAGCAGCCACCGAAGCGATGACAGTGATACCTCAGACTAGGGATGGCTACGAAGGAGGCGATACGTCAGCCGGGAGCGCGGCGGTGACGGTGATGCCCTCGGCAACGAACCCGATGGGAAAGAAGGAGGACACGAACGGCCGGAACGGTATGACGGGCAGCGTGGACAGCAGCGTGACGAACCGGCGTGTGGTGTCCGACACCCGCGTCGTGCTGCGTGAGTGCGGGTTCGACACCCGTGGCGAGCTGAGCAAGGCGGAAGTGGCAGCATTGGTGACGAAACAGCTGGACGCATGGGTGGCTGCGCAGGATGCCACAGACGACGCCCGCGGTGATGAAGCGACACCGGACAAGCTGCTCTGGCGGAGGAAGCCCGTGTGAAGGACGCCGAGAGGCGCACGTGTTGCTGATAAAGTTGAGCACGATGACGAATGAAGCGATGCTAGCCGACGCAACGGAGCGGCAACAGCACCGTCGCCGGAGAAGGGTCGCGCGCGAGAGAGCCCGACGCGAACGACGAGCCGAGCGGCAGTGATCCGTCGGAGTTGCTCCCTGCAAGCCACGTCACCCACACAAGCTCGACAGCAGACCAACAAAGCCACGGCTAACCAACAAAGTCACCACGAATTCCGCTTTTTTCATGCCGCTGGCTAAGACGTCCAGGATGAAGCGCAGCTGTACGAAGCGTCCTGCCTCCGTGTATAAGGCTGGCATCCGCAGCTTCATCGCCGCCTGCGGGTACCTCGACCTAACGCACGTCGAACACTAGCATCAAGAACGTAACACACTGCGCAGACAAGTGTCAGCTCTAAGGAGCAGCGTCGGTACTCAGGAAGACAACGCAACACGTATTTTCCACATGGCGATTTGAGGGTTAAGGTGGAAAACATCTCGAAGGTGACAAACCCTCTGCTAACACCAACTGCAGTACACTAAAGTGAAATCGCACTGCCCCAACCTACAGAGAGACTAGCTCAGGCGGGACTTACTCTCAATTTGAAGAAATGCGTGCTTGCGGCGAAACTATGGAGTACTATGGGTACTATTCCAGGCGTTCCGGGGGCCGACGGCAGTCGGGGACAAGCTATTCATACGGGCGGGCTACTATCGGCGTTTGTTGAGAGCTTTGGATCGAACATGGCACCCATTACGAAGTTATTGCGAAAGTACGTCGAGTGATATACACCTTGTCATGGAGCTCCGTTTGGACGTATGAAAACGGTCTATACTTGAATCCACCTTTCCGTGTTGTGACGGATGCGGGTATGGTGGGTGTGGGCGCTTGCTGATGCAAGACCAAGACAGCGGCTAAATGAGCAACACAAAAAATACAGCTGCAATTAAGTATGACATCACGGAGTTGGGGTGCTTGGCGGTGGTATGGGCGACCAAGTTCTCCCGTCCTTACCTTTTTTTGCCGTACAGGTAAGTCCGGCAAAATCTTTACTATTATCAGCGATTTCTCATGACGCGCCCGAACCTGACGTAGGTGGGCACTCACCTTGCAGGAGTTTGACTCTAAGGTCGAATACCGGCAGGGTAGCACAAACCTGGTCGCGGATGCAGTCCCCCGACTACTTGTGGTACCTTCGGACATGCCCACGGACGGCACACACCGCATCACAGGCATCATGACGCCTGTGGTGAGGCGTGATCCGACGACGGAGCTGATGAAGCCAGCGGTGGCCACGGAAACGGTGCCTTTGGAGCAACTTACCAGCGAAGACAACGACAATGCGCCCAAGATCATTGAAGAGAGGCCCGACAACGGCGAGTGGAACAACAAAGCCGAAGCAGCAGACGACAGCTCCACGGCGACCATCAGGATAGACGGAGGTGACGGTACTGGGCGACGAGTAGCGGCGAAGCGGTATGAAGCTGGACGTGGTGGCGAACTGCTGAACATGAACCTGTAAGACGACGAGCTAGTGATCCCACGTGGCAACTTACCGATGAGAAGATCATGGATGCGCCGCGGGAGGGTCGACCGATCCACTGGATGGAGTCGGGCAAACACTAAGGGCGGAAAATGACAAAGACGTTTGAGTTAGCGACGATTGAGACAGCAGTAAACGAGTTGTCCTATCTCTAGTATTATGGTATACGTTGTCCTTATGACTACGTGTGACTAGGAGACCCCATATCTACGCACGCTTTGCGTAAATGTACTTGTGACCGAACCTGATGCGCGAAGTAAGGCGCCGTGGGGCGGGCTGCCAGCAGTGAGTCTTCGCAAGGCACGATAGAGATGCCCCCCCCCCCCCCGCCCCCCCCCCGCCACCGAAAAGCATACGCGGAGTTGCGAGGTGGTCAG